AAGCTCTAGACGCAAGCACAGACACAGAGACCCAGACCCAGACCGAGACCGAGACCCAGACCCAAAGCCAAAGCCAGTGGCAGTGCCAGCGCTGGAGTTGAAGCCCCAGCAGACGCAGTGGGAAGTCAGCGCTGGTAATTCCTTTGTGCCAGCCTTTTAGCAACGTTTTACTTTCGCACGCGCCTTTCGCTCCGCCGAGTGCTGAGTGCTGAGTGCTTTCCCAGTTCACAGTAACCAGCTTGTACACTGAGAGAAAATCAAATGTGCGATACAAGATAACTATTCGAAACGTGAAGGCTTTGGCCAAGAGCTTTTGACAATAAAAGAATTTATTTGATTTGAAGTTTTCATCTATTTTTCACAGCTGTGGGTGGAATTAAATCAAAAACAAATGTTCAAGTTTTCACCATTTTTCCACAGCTGCGGGTGGAATTGAACACAGCTTTGCGTGCACTTAATGAAAGTTAAATATTATGCTTTCTAGCTCGGACTATTTGAGCGTTGATCACCAAACGGTCAGTCAATCAATCAGTCAATCAATCAGTCAGTCAATCAGTCAGTTAATCACTAAGCCGATCAGTTGGTCAATCAGTCTGTCAATCAGTCAGTTTTTCAGTCAGACAATCACTTACGAAATGTTGACAAACATTTCCTTGTCAATACTTCTGTATAACATTTAAGGATGCCTTTCAAAGGAAAATCCGAAAAGTGTTGCTAAGTGAATGTTCTATGCTAATTTTTCTCAGTGTATTTCATCAGGTTCTTGTGCTCTGTTGTTGTTTTGTGTTCAAGTTTCACTTGATGAACACGCGGCCAAAAGTTTTGCAACAATTCTTACGCTTTGCCTTCGGGTCGACGGATTTTTTTTGCTTGCTTCCTTTTTTTTCTGTTGCGCACGATTGTTTCTGCCTGCCACCTTTCATTTTGAGTGTTACGCAATTTCTTTTATTCACGTTTCCCCCTTCCTCTCTCTCTCCCTCTCTCTCTCGCTGAGTAGGCGACGAAGTGCAACAGCAGCCTTCAAAGGGCCCAGATGGCGGCTCTGACACCTTTGTAATTGCCCATCTCAAGTTTCAGCTCTTGTTGTTGTTGTTGTTGCTGTTGTTAGCGAAAGTTTCCTAATTGACTGCAACAATTGCTGCCTCTGACATGATGATGTTCAGGCTAATGATCATTAGCAGCTGGCTTAAAGCTGGGCACGCTGCGCGCATTGGTTCATTGACATTGGGAGGGCGGCTAAAAATAGCTGCGCCCAAATGCTTAAAAGTCGCCTTTGGCACAGAAGTCATGTGGCCCGTGGCCCAAAGGCTGTGACGCGCCCAGGACAACGCCAGGACATGCGAGCCACACACAGCATAACAAACAAAATAGAAAAAAAAAAACAACAACATCAACAACAAGAATGGAAAAAAAATCGATATGCCTCAGACGTGCTCGCGCCGCTTCGTTCTTTTGGGCGGGGTGGGCAGGCGCCTGGGCCGCCAGCCAAGGGTAGCAAAATGTTGTGCGAACGCGCACGGCAAAGGCAACAACAATAACACACACACACACAGACGCACACACACACACACGACGTTCATTGCCTCTCTTGCATTTGGTTTAATCGGGTCGTGCGCTTTGCGCTGCCTTCTGCTTGGGGCTGGGCATTACTTCCGCTTTCGTGCAGTTGCCTTCGCCTTCTCGCAGCGAGTTTGCGCTCAATTTTTGCTACTTTTGCTTTGTGCTTGATTTTCTTTTTCCTGATTTTGCGCTTTTGTTGCGCCATTTTGACGGCGGCCACCGACGACGTCGTCCACGTCCTCGTCCTGCGTCCTGCGTCCTGTGCCCTGCGTCGTCCGCATCTTCGTTGTCAGTTTTGGGCAATTTTCGCACGAATCGCTTCGTTCCGTGTGGGCCATGTCCTGTGCCTTTTGCGGCACTTCCGTTTTGTCAGCAATTTGCAGACGCCATTGATTTTCATGGCGCGCAATAATTATTACATTTACGTGGCAGCTGCACGGCCCCGCCCATGGGCCTCGCCCGTTGCCGGCGCCTTCAAGTATGCTGTGAAATTTTGTTTTGCGCTCGATTCTCTTTTGATTTCATTTTTTGTTGTTTATATCAATTGCTGCGCCAGCGCCCCTTTTTGGCCTTTTATTTCGCTTCGCTTCGCCTGGCTTCGCTTCGCTTTGCTTCCTTCCTTCCTGTTCCGGCTGTGGCTCTGGTGCCCTCAGAGGAGCCGGACCTGGACCCGTCTTTCACGTCCTTTGCATTCCTGCGGCTTAAATTGCTCTTGTTGTGTGTGTGCGAGTGTGTGTGAGTGTGTGTGTGTGAGTGTGTGTGTGTGAGTGTGTGTGTGTGTGTGCATCGCTCGGCTTGCCGTCGGTAATGACAAGGGTGGGTTTGCTTTCGTCTCCATCTACATCGCTGTCTCCGTCTCCGTCTACGTCTTGGTCGTCTCATTCTGCGGCTCGCTGGCGTATACGTTATTTTATTACATCAAATGTTTTACAGGCACTTGGCTGCTCTTGCTCTCTCCCTCTCCCTCACCCTCTCCCAGTCCTTCTGCCTCGCTCACTCTCCCTCTTTCGTTCAGTCGCTCTGCTGTCTCTGGCTGCCGCTGCTGCTGCTAGTGCTGCGGCGACGGCGGCTGCGTTGCGGTTGACGCTGGCGTCGCCGCCGTCGCTGCCGCCGTAGTCGGCGTCGTTGTTGTCTGCTTCTTCCTGTTCTTAATTGAAATTTGCGGCTGCATCAATATTTGCTTTTTTCTTGTGTTTTCCACGTTATTAAAAATCCTTGTGCAAGTTTTTGCTGTTGCTTTTTGTTTTGCTCGCTCACTCGCCCCACACCTCCTTCGCCCTCTCTCCCTCTCTCTCTCGCTATCTCTGTTACTCTCTTTGTGTCTATTGTTGTGCTTTTAAATTTCCTCTAATTACGCAATTTATTTTGATGCATTTTTTATGGCGCCAACTTCAAGACAATTTAAAAAAATGCTGAACTTCAACACGCATAAGGCAATTGCTAGCCAAGTTTTTTCCAGGACTATTTCTTTTTTAAACTTTGTTGAATTATGTTGGGGAAGTAAGTATACCATATGTTAGTAATAAAAGATCTCTACTTTGAAGATTTAATTTCTTTAAAGTAAGTTTCTTAACAGGAAACTGTGGAAATTCTTAAGGAGAACTAATTAAAAATAACTAATTTATTGGACGATATTGATATGAAGTGTTTTACATTCGTATAACTTACATTTACGAAACAATGCAAATTTTTCTAGGAATAACATTTCAGGTAACTGTTAGCGCTTCCACTGTAATATGTTATTAGCATATGTCAGCATATGTTATGTTATATAACAGAATAGCGAAAGGTCTGTTAATTGTTTATCAAATTTAACATTAATGTTTCCTTCTCTGTTCAGCAAGCAGTTACAGAGCTACATTACAGAACTGTTAAACAAATAATAACAGAGCTCAGCTAACAGTCAATTTAACATTTCTTCAGCAACACATATTCAATTTGCATAAATCATTGATATGAAGGAAAGGCTTGGGCATTTCTTTTGGCTTTTAAGCCTATGCCAAGGGTAAATTTTAGAATTTAGTTTCAGTTTATTAAATCAGTCTGTATGTAGAGAAGGCGACCCTCGTATTATTGCCGTTTGAGTCTTGTGTCTGCTGGAATTATGCCTAATTGAAAATGCATTTTATAGCAGTTCGCAGCTCGTATAACTGCTGCACCGCGCCCATCCCCGCGCCATTTTGCTGCCAGGGGCTTGTCCCGACAATGCCAGGGCCAATAGCTAGACGGCAACAGCAGCAGCAGCTTCTCGCGACTCCCCTTCACTCCGTGCGCCTGTCTGGCACTCGTCGAAGGCTGAAGGCTGAAGACTGAGACTGAAGGCCACGTTCTGCGCGCTCCAACTTCCACTGGATGTTGATGGCAACGTCATATGAGCTGCCGCTGCTGCTGCTGCTGCTGCAGTTGATGTTGTTTTTGTTGCTGCATTTTGTATGCGGAATTTGCAGCAGAAATGCATTAATCAATCATTCATTAAATCAATCAATCAATTTATGTATTCCTCGCGGTAATTTTTTTTCCTTTTCTTGTTTGGTTTTTTCTTCCGCCAATTTCGTATTTGTTTTTGTACGTTTCGAAGCTGTTTGCCATTTTTACTGCAATCGGTTTTTGCTAGAGAGTTTTAGCCATTTTTTTGATTGATTGCCATTAATAACTCATTTTTGGAATTTATTTGTTTAGTTCTGCCAGTGAGTCCACGTCGCAGTCGCAGTCGCAGTCTTAGCTCTAGTTAGCGCTGAGTGGGCAGCTTGTGTTGAGTAATTGCAGCGGGCTTCAGTCTAGACTGGAGTCCCGAGAAAGCTGTACAGGAAAAACGTACAGCTGTCGTTGGAAAATCAAGGCACTTTTCGAATGACTGATTGCTTTAAGACTCTGAAAAGTAATTAGTACGAACTGAAGCTAGTTTTCAAAGCCAAATAAATGCGAGCAACTTTTTTGAGCTACGTTTGACAAGGCATTGTGAATTAGTTCGCAGCTAACATTGAATTAGTAAGGCATATTTAAAGTTTATCATTAACAAGAAAAAGTATACTCTGCTCCAAATTCAAGTATTTAAATCAGGACTTACACTCAGATAAAAAGAATGTGAGTTTAATCTACACGAGAGATTTGTATAGGCTGAGGCAATCTGTTGTTAATAACATTAACATATCATGTTAGCTGTGTGTTATGTAAGTTGTATGTTATGTTATGTTATCAAGCCTGTTAGCATTATGTTTTACATTTATCTGGATGCCTGTTTCAGTTGGCTTAGACAAATTCTGTTGATCCAACATTTGATTGAGCTGGGCGGCTTTTTTAGTGCATTAAAGCAAATGCAGGATACGTTTCGTAATAGGATTTCTACCAATCAGGTTCATTATGTGTGTGCATAACAATACACAATACGAATAATGCAATTTATGAGTTGCAATTCTTGTGGCTGCCCCCTCCCCCCAAACTTGCTGTACACAGTCGATGTTGTTGTCGATATAACGAATTTTGCAAGTTATTTGCATATTTGTGAGCATATTATAGTGTTTTTCTCTCGCTCTGTCCATCTCGCTATCTCACTCTCGCTCTCTATCTGTGCTGCTCTCTCACTCGCTCTCTATCTCGCTTTCTCTCTCACTCTCTCTCGTTTTCTGATTGTCATGTGTAAGGATGCGCAGAATATCCTGCGGCGCCACAGCGCACATATAACATTGTCCGCCGTCCCCTGTCCCCTGTCCGCTGTCCGCTGTCGCATAGTTCAGTCGTGGGGCAAAGTATGTAATAAAATGCATTGCGAGTTGCATGCAACATGCGAAATTCGTGTGGCAAATATGTAAAATTGAATAAGCCGTAAGCCAGTGGCATATACTACGCACCCAAAAAAGCTCGCATAACAACAGACCAGAGCTGTGCAGTTACTTACTTAGCCGTACAGTGGGACAAAATGCATGCGAAATGCGACGAAACTTACCTGCAAAGAGATGGCAAAGAGGTAAAATGATAATGATTAGTACAACGAAAATACGAAACTAATTTTGCTTATCTTGAGCTTAGATTAAAATGAAGCTGAATGGAGTATACCCTGGCTGATTGGCTGGGTGAGGGGGAGTAAGGGGGCAGGGGGGGCGAGGAGGAGGGGGGCAGGTCCAGCAACGAGTTGCACGCCAATGGAGCGACAGGTAGTTTAATTTATGTGTTGCTCTTGTTGCTGTTTTTTACCATTTGCTCTTTGCTGTTGCTGCCATTATGCTGCGTCGTTTTAATGGTCCCCAACAACAACAACAACAACAGAAACAACAACAACAACAGCAACAAAGTCACGAGCTGACCAGCCAACAATGGCGATGCCAACGAGCAAAAAGGATAAAAGGCATATAAATAAATAAATAAAAATTGCAAAGAGCAGCAGCAAAAATAAAAAATACGAAAAAATGTCTGTGAAGTTGGAACAACTCGCAGCTCGTTGTGCCCCCAATCGGGGCAGCAGCAGCGACAGCGGCAGCGGCAGAGACAGCGAGTGCCTAAAAAAACAACATAAAAGGAGAGCGTATTTCAAGGCGTTGTTTTTGTTGTTGTGCACAACACGCGAGCCCCTGCCGCCCCACTTTCCGCCCATCGCCCACCGCCCAAAACGTGACCGAGCATTTTTCAATGTCAGTGGAAAAATGTTTCAACACAAATTTTGTGCGCTGCCTCTTTTCTTTTATTTTATCTATTTGAATTTTTAGCGATTGCGCTAGTTGAGCTAGTGAAATATATATTTCATGTGTAGTCAAAACAAAAGACAACAACAACAACAACAACAACAACAACAGCAACAACAACAAGAAAAACAATGCCAAAGAAAACAGTTGCAAAATTGTTCATGTGTTAGAAAATGCTCTTGTTTTTCTTTTATTCGGGCAGGGGGCGGGCTGCTTTTCGGCAACGCGCGTCATAAAGAATTTACGCTACATAAAATTTAATAATTTCATTTTTTTTATGGACGCACATATGCGAAACACACAAACGCGCGCGCACACACACACACACGTGCCGTTAGGGGCTGCGCATAGGGAGGCATGCCTGAATTATAGCATACTTTTAGGCGCGTGCCGTGGCGTCGCATTTGTTCAGCTTTTATGGGTTACATAACGAGCGAGGCGACTAGCGGAAGCACGCCAAAGTGAGAGGGAGTGAACGAGAGAGACAGAGAGCAGGCAGCAGCTGCTTCGAAAGCTCAAATATATGACAAACTATATGTGCCGGAAAAAAAAACTGATAAAACTGAATGAAATATATTTAAAAGTAGTATGAATAATACACAAATGACGTTCTGGTACAGTGAACACCTTGGTAAGTGTTATTCCTGGAGCTGGCTTAAAACTGAAGCTGACTCAGATTCGAAAAGAAATTTAAACTAGCTCAATTTCTTCTGTAGAGTGAACAATAGTCAAAATAGTTTTTGGAACTAGTTCGTAGGTTGTAAAAAAGTGGTTCCAGTAGATTTTTAAGAGAACTGTCAATGCTGTCAAAAAACGATTACAAACTGTTTTAAATTTATTGAACTAGTTCCGACGTAAGAGTAGAAGCTTAAAAGCAAGTAAAATGTTTGTGATTCTGAAATTTGGCTGGAACTGATTCAAAAGGCAATTCAAACTGGATCGAACTAGTTCGTGAGTGGTTAAAATTTGAGTATACAAGACAATATCTAGACGCTGTCAAATTGGGTTCTTTCAAAACCATCCAAACCATTAAAAACCATCAAATTTATTGAACTGGTTCCGACTTGACAGAAATGGCTTGAAAGCAAGTAAAATCTGTTGGTGATTTTGAAATTTGGAACTCGGCTAAAAAAATCAACCAAAAGCAACCAAAATTATTTGAACATCAATTTTGTTAAGAAATTGATTTTTCTTGCCTGACACTTAGTTTTCTTAGATTTTCTTTTGAAAATTAAAGGCAAAAGCGCTTTTTGTAACTTTATTGTTTTGCACTCATGCCTTTTATTTTATCAGAGCGTGTTGCTTTTTGCGTTAATATTTCACTAATAGCATTGGCTGGCAAAATTGCATTACGCTCAAGTTGACTCATTTTAATTGAATTTTAACTTCAGTTCGAAATTGAATTACGTGCCAGGGCCAAGAAAGAGACGGCGACAGACAGAGACAGCAACAGCGATGGGATAAATGAGGCAGACACGGAGTGGATGCCTTTCTCTGTGTGTGTGTGTGTGTGTGTGTGTGTGTGTGTGTGTCACTCTCGGTTCAATAAAACTGAACGGGATGCGAAACTGTCGCGCTGCAAGCTGCGAAAATTCATGGCACTGCGCGAAAATTGCATTAAGTCAGCTGCCATATTTTGAGATAATGAAATGTGGACAGTGTTGGAAAAAATTGCATTAAGCCAGTAATGGGCAGCGCCTAAAACTACGCCAAATGCAGCCCTGCAGCCAAACAGTGTGGCCAAAATTCACTTTCACCGTGGCAGCAGCAACTTGTCAGCCCCCCTCCCTCCGTCCATCCCACACACACGCACACACACATGAGTTTCATTATTTTGCACTTAATTAAAAACACGCGCGTTCATAAAAAATAAAAAAAAAAAAAACTGTATCACAGCCAGCCTCTGGCCAACCGCCCTCTCCTGTCGACCCTTTTGTTTGTTTTTTGCAGCGTCCATAAAAAACGCGGCCTGGTCAACTGGAAAAAACAACGCGCAGTGCCGTATTTGGAGCTGGAGTCACAGTTGGAGTCTCGTTCCAGCCAAATGTTAGTTGTCTGGCTGCTATTGCCCCTGCCTCCCCCCGCTCTCTCTCCCCCTCACCCTCTCTCCCCCTCACTCTCTCTCTCTCTCTCTCTGTGGCTGCATTCGTTGTTGTTTTGCGCTCGTTTTATAGCCGCGTCGCAATTTTTTGCTGTTTGTTTTTGGACTTTGGCAAAATCCTTTCGCTTTCATGCATTTAAATGTTTGCACGGCCAAAAGCACAGCAAAGGCCGCCTGGGTTACAGCCAGACTCGGCCAGGGGGAGGCTGCGGCTGCTGCTGTTGCTATTGCTCTTCCGCCATGTGGCAGACAGTTTGGCCAAGAGCCATTGGTGGGCGCGAAATTGCTAACTGAATTTGCATGTGACGTTGCGTTTTTTTTTTTTTTGGCCACGGACTGTTGAATACTTGTCCCAGAGCCGAGCCAGGGCCAACAGGAAATGGCAGAGGCAGCCAAAGCGAGACAAATTGAAGATTAAACGTGCCCACAAAACAAAGAACAGAAATCATTAGCAGCCAAAGGGCCAAGACAAGCGCTGACTACACACACACACACACACACACACACATGTATATATACCATATATATATAAATACATATACATGTGCCTTTTAATTGCCTGTCTTGCATTTCTGCATTCGTTTCGATATCATTTAATGGAAGAAAAAACTAATTTTTTCCAGTTGACAGATCGCGGCGAGTAGGTAGAAGAGCAGAGCGCGAAAGTTTTGCCACTATTTTATTTATTTGCTGGCCGAAATGCAAAAGGAAGCGCAACACAAAACAAAAACAACAACAACGCACAAATAGAAGAAAAAAGCTTAAAACAAAAATAAAAGGAGAAGAAAAGCAGCCATAAACTACAAATCATGCCAGCGCAAAGACAACAACAGGCCAATATACAACAGGCGAAGGCGCAGAGAAGACGGCAAAAAAAAAAGAAACAAAATACAAAAAAAAAAAAAAAAAATACAGAGAAACTAAATGCATAAAAAATTGTCTAAAAATTCAACATAACCTCGAATGATTTATGGCCGCCAGCGAATATTTAAAAGGTATACAAGGCGACGGCAACGGCGACGGCGACGGCGACTGCAAAAAAAGCAGCGAAGAGCAGAGGAGAAAAAGCGCTGAGCAGCGGCAGCGGCAGCAGAAAAAAAAAAGCAAAGCAAGAAGCAGAGCCAGAGTTTGGGGTTCGAGTGCAGCAACAAGAAGCGCAGCAAACGGGTCGCATGGACTACGAGACACAGCAGGTAAATGTGGGCGGCGGCAGATAAAGCTCATGTCAAATAGAATTTAGTATATACTATGCATGTGTATATATATATATATAATATATATATTTAAATCATATATTTTTTTATTATATAAATATTTTTTTTTTATTAATTTAATAAGAATAACATTCAAAATGTTAATTTTGTAATGGAATCGTCTTTGATCAGACGCGCATTACAAAATTTACATTTTGATTGACAATCTATTTAAATGAATAAAAAACCATTTAAATAAATATTAACACTTTGGTCCGATGGACTTTGATGGAATGCTGCTGAAAGTGAGCTGTGGGGAATTATGGAAAATGTGACATAATAGTTAATTTATTCATTTTCCTTTAGGTTTTATATGCTGGAAATCATTCTGCAGATAAATATGTCTATGTAATTAACATTTAAATTATTATACGATTGTCTATCAGCTGAAGAGATCAACAAAAATATAGAGC